ATATATATATATATATATATATATATATATATATATACAGAGAGAGGAAGAGAAATAGAGGGTGAGAGAGAAATCGAACCGCGCGCGACCTAGTCAACGAAGGGTGCTGTTGTTTCCTTGGAACATACGTATGTAAGTATTACACTACAATCAACATGCCCAGTTTGTCTTTTGACAGTAGATTATATCTGAGTTTTCTAGTTAGACTAAACTTCTCCAACGTTCAGTTGATTGGTGAATCACAGGAGTAAACCAAACGGAGTGATTCATTAACATATCTAACAGTCAATGGAACAGGTACTACTGATAATTTTTCCTAAAATGTGAAGATTAAGGTGTCATGCTTATATGAATTGGAAAGCTAACGGTGTGCACTAAGCAACGAACTTAAAGTACAGCTCCTCGACCAGTTATCTTAAGAACATGTTCACTTACTGGCTGGATTCCGATCCATCATTGTGTCTTTTGCGTCCCTTTTCGCTAGAGGCTGAAAAACAAGCTGAAATTTCGGCAATCGAGTGGCGAGCGAAACTAGCAGCTCAGGAACACGAACGTCAAATAAGCGCTATTGCAGATCAGGCACAGTTGGCGAGATCGAAATCTCTTGCTGATGCAGAACACTACAGAGCTATGCGAGAAGCAGAAGCCAGCCGTCTGCGTCTTACTCCGGCTTATCTGGAGTTGGCGAAATTCCAAGCACTGGCTCAGAACGCCAAAATCTATTTCACTGGGACTTATACGAATCTGCTTACAGACCTGCTGACGCAGTTGAGTTCGACAAACTCCAATGGTTCGACCGAGGCTCCTTAACCGCACTTGTAAAATTCCCATCTGATTTGCCTATTTTCTGTTTTTTTTTCGTATCAAGTTTGTGTAATAAACCAAATATAGTTTTTACCTAAATCTTGCAGATATTTTATAGAAACGCTCCAAGGTGGAGTGATCGTGACTGCATTTTTTGTTTACATCTCAGTTTCACTCGCCGCAGGTTTTACTCGACCGCGTTCACTTAAAGCGCATTTACAGCCTTATTAGGGCTCAGGATTTATTTCTAATAGTGCCGATTCCTACGGATTCCGACTCTTCGATTTTGTTTTATGTCCAAATTCGCCTTGATGAGTACATAAAAGATGTCCTACTCCTCGGAAAGAGGACCATGACAGGGTTTCCCCTTCTATCATTAATTTATTTCATATCTAACGGAAGCTCAGTCGTGAACGCCCTACATAGTACTACCTTGTTCTTTGTGGAGTGAGTTCTTCTGAAGTGGAGGTGGAGGCCCACCTTTTCTGACTGCTGTTATCTATTGCGCGGTCCCATACATGTACTCAAGCCACACAGTCACAAGGACTCATGTTGGCTGCAAATTTCCGAACTGGAAAGCCTCTTCGCGTCCACATCACCTAACACAAGCGCTTGCATGTGTATATCATTGTCAACAGAATCGAGCACACTGCTGAGTCTCGGTGGTCGTCTAAACGTTCTCTTCTGACTGTATCTGTGTTGTTAAAACCACGCTTGTTTCTCAGTTCCATACTCTCCATCCAGTTCAAATCAGACCTCACCTTTCCCCTAGTCAAAGTCGAATCCCTACTTTTGGTTTATTAGCCCATATCCACTCGGCACGTGGTTCTTCCCGGGAGTACTAAACTCAGCTCCGACAAGTTTGTCGTTGAATCAGAAACAGGGTAGCGCATATGATCACTAGTGGTAATCGGACCGTTCGACCGTGCGAAACTATATTCTACAGAGCTGCGAGTTCACAATACAGACGAAGCTGTAACAATTGCTTCATCACTAACACCGTTTGCTTTAGGTAGACTTATTAAGTTGGCTGTTTTGACTTAATCCACAGAGAATCTACTGACCTCTGCGTAACTTGGTGGATTGGCTGGTATTTTCTTTTAGAGCGGAAATAGTTCGAGATACACTGCTTACAGGGTAATTGGATGCTTGTTCCGTACGCTTGACGGGGCCAAAACCCTAGTCAAGTGCCAAATCTAGACAACAATTAACTTATTAGCCAGTAATACGAATTATGGTTCTCTCCACGCAGGATGCTTTATCTTTCAGTTGTTTCGGTTTTGGTTAGAGACAAGTGCGACTCAAATGCAGCTGAAAATAAACAGCATTTTTTGTTTGCTCACCAAATTGATTCAGTCTTGTAGTTTACTTCATACAGGATACCTCGTTTGCCGTATCGAGTGGTGCCTATACGTTGGTGTTAGTAATTCACTGAGATTTCGTTAATTTCAATTGATGTACTCTAGACCTTGTTTGTTTAAACAGTCGATGACTTCGAAGACTATCCTGTTGTTTGACGTGGATGGAACACTCACCAAGCCTCGAAATGTTATTTCGGAACGCATGCTGAATTACCTCTTGGAACTCGCTTCTCGTGTTCCTGTAGCGGTGGTTAGTGGGTCGGATTACGCGAAAGTCGAGGCCCAGCTAGGTGGTCCCTGTGGTTTGTCCCTTCGATTTCATCCCCTTTTAGATTTTTCTTCTAGCTGCAGGCAGCTTGCGGTACATCTTCTCCGAAAACGGTCTTGTCGTACATGAGTATGGAAAGCAAGTTAGCTGCACTGTGAGCTACTGAAATTATTGATGTTCTCAAACTCTGTTGCACAGAGCATTGTGGATCACATTGGAGAGAAGCTAATTCAGAAATTCATCAACTATTGCTTAGGATATCTATCCAAGCTCGAGCTTCCTTTCAAGCGTGGCACATTCATCGAGTTTCGAAAAGGATTAATTAATGTGTGTCCAGTTGGTCGAAGCTGTTCGCAGGAAGAACGGGATGAATTCGCAAAATACGACGAAGTAGGTCTTTCAAGCTTTAGTAATCTATATTTCGCGCCATTTTTCATCACTTGCTAACATACCAACTGCTGTCCAATCTATCCTATCTGTTTGTTGTCAACTTGTGATGCTTTTATATATATATACATATATATATATATATAATATATATATATATATAATATCAGTTGAGAGCAGTAATATTGTTTGCTGGGATCTTTCAGTTGGGTGTCGCGAGATACACTGATACACGCGAATAAAGCACAACATTGGGATCCCTCATCCATTGGGGCACCATTCACTTTACGTCTAATGTTGCGGAACCGCTAGAGACACCAGAAATTTATCGTATATTTTAGCGGTTGGACTCCAGTATCTTTGAGTTAGCCTATGTATGTGTCAAGTTTTTGGTTTGGGCTCGTGACCTCTGAAAGATTAGTGATTTTTGCGGAATTAACCAATTACATGTTTTCATGCCAATGATCACAAATTAGGTGTAACTCTCATCACCAGCGTGTTTTATCTTCTTATGCAGCAGTGTACACGTGAGAACGTTGACAAGGTCAAGGTGCAAACTTGCTGACTAGAAGATACACGTTTCAAATCTAACCCTGTCATCTTTACTGCTCCTCTGTAGCCTGGCAGTTACTCAGCCCTTCGGGTGGCGTAGCAACGATGCACCGAAAAGATGTAGGAGCTGAACGGTTTGACATGACAAGCAAATGTAGTCTGCTTAGGGACCGGAAGTGCATCGAACTGGGTTATTGTGGCGTATCACTTCTTAGGGGTCGGATGTACCATGGTACAAATGGCTTTAGGACCTACCGAGGACCCGCTTTTAAATCTCGGAGGGACTGCTGCAATGAAATGTGTGCTAAATGCATGTTTGGTGGTGCTAGAAGTGCTACGTCTTGATTGCAAATCCAGAACTACACACTGCCGTTATTCGCTCACGCACGCCGGACTATCGTCTTGTGCGTACGAAGTTCAAACTGCATCAGTCCATAACTCCGACAGCATTAGAATCGGTGCTGTAGTTAGTTTCCAAGGATGAATTCTACATAACCTTCGGCGCAAATGACGAGGGATATGAATGCGAACGGATACCGTCATTGTTCTCGCTGCTGGCTGAGAGGTGCGCACCTCCTAACGCTTGCGGCACACTAGGACTAACCCTCTCGAACCTTAGAAAGTAGTAGCATGGCTGTACGCTAGTGAATAACCAATCTAAATTGTGCCCCGTCGGAAAAGTACACTAATTTTGAATGACTTTCACCGATGTGTTTGCCCGACTTTGTTTTAACTGAGTTTTATGGACAAATACCTCGTTTACCAATCGTAACTCAGTCTGGTGAGTGTTTTGCCTTCCTGGTTTACCTCTTTTGCCTTAGCTCCGATAAAAAGGCTATCGGCCTCAATGATCTGCCAATCCTTGGCGTACTCGTGAAGACGTACTCAAGAAGACTGAGATCGTGACCTACAAGAGTTGTTTCTTTCACAAGGGTGTTCTCTCCAAGGAGCGAAAAATACAGTTCTCTCGCTGAACGATAAAAAATTAAAGCAACCTGCCCTGTCCGCTTCACCAAATGCTTTGTCTGCCACGAAAGATTTGGTAATAAAGCTTTTTCAGCCACAGTACCATTAAGGAATTGCCTGTCATGCTCCACAGAGGTTTTTTATAATAACCTGGACTCCTTGTCTTTTTCTAATACATGCTTTTCGATGCAGGAACATCAAATTCGACAGAAATTTGTTGATGACATGCGTTTGCACTTCGGATCAATGGAACTTCAATTTGCAATAGGTAAATGAGCCTATTCTTGTCTTCTCTTTGTCCTATGATTTTTTTTACTCAACAAAATTATCCTTGAATAACTACTTATTTTGATACGACCATATGATTTAAATGTTTAATACGCTCATCCGGAGCAAAGGGAGGAAGCTTTGATAGTGCAACGGAGAAACACGGGGCTGTGTCTTATATGCTTGTTTGAGGGAGAGTGGCTGGGTGGAGGAAGATCTCATAAAAGTCCATTTGCTAGCCCGAGTTGTGGTCTTTTCACGCTACCTGTTGCGTGGTTTCAAAGGCAGTCCGCGAGCAACGATTGTTTATTTCCTATCTAGCTTGAAATCATTCCAAAGCAGATCGGTCGCTTCACTGTCTGGATCCTAATCGACACAGTTGTTTTTTCTTTAAAAATGCAGCTACTTGGGTTAGCGGTCAACTAACTTCTAAATGAGGTGGTTCGACGGCGTCGGATTATTTAGGCCCAACAAAAGAGTTACAGCTTCATCTGACTTTTGTGAAATAGCATAGTGAATAGATCGTTCGTTTTTTTTTCCAATCATGTCTCTCTGTAGACGTTCTCTGCGTTTCATGTTTGTGCTTTTCTTCACAGGTGGTCAGATAAGCATAGATGTATTTCCTCGTGGATGGGACAAGCGTTACTGCCTACAATTCCTGAAGGATTATGATGAGATCCACTTCTTCGGTGACAAAACAAGTGAGGTAGGTGTTCGGAACACGTTTGTCCTCCCCTACGCGCAGAGGACGTACGGATGATTTCAGTGTTTGATCATCAGTGTCTCCGCAGCATCGGTGACGTCTGATTGGAACATCGAATTAGTAATGCAGAGGCACACCAGATTGTCTTAGGAAAAAGGAACTCTCCCGCGATAGGTGAATTACTCACGCTTCATAGGCTGCGCTAGTTGGGCCATTTACTCCGCATGCCAGAAGATCGTCTGCCTCGCAGAGCCCTTTTCGTCCTGTGCTGAGTGGAAACGACCGAGAGGTGGACAGTGTATAACCTGGCAACGAAGTATGAAGACACTAACCAGTAAATTTAGTCGGGTGGGGAACTGCCGCCTCCCTGGATGGGGACCTCGGGGCTCAAATCACCAGTGGTTAATGACACTGGTGGAAATGGCCCAATCGCGCATTTAGTGGCGCTCGTGCACCAAAGCTGTTGCCTTCAATGCGTAGCTACCGGACAAACAGAACATGCCTTAGCCTCCAAGGTTTGGTCGTATATTCCACTTTCCCGTAATCCGGTGATCGAAACTAGCATTTGGGACCAACGTGCCAATGACACACGGTTTATAGCTGGTAAATTGAATTGATTGAATACGTGCACTCTGGCAGGATGAACTCTTTCGAAAACACTATAGCTAGGGTGTTTATTTCGGCTCGCACCGGCTCTCTGACTTCCGTTCTTCATATACATGCAGCAACTCATGTTACACGCCTATCAGGGCGGACCACCCTCTGCAAGGACCAGGTTTTCCGAACCTCACTGTGAGCTTGTCCATTTTGACCAGAGTAAATACTCTAGAATGAGAATTCCAAACCAAAACATTCAGGATCATGTCTAAAAATTTGACCATAATACTGCGCCTGACATGCATTCAGAGAGATCGACTTTGATCATACGGACAGTATTCTGTTATTTGACAATCGTGTGTTCGCACAGACTACTCTACATAGAGTATCTTGCTTCGGTGTGCACTTTGCACCTTCAAAGGGAGAAGGTTCGAAAGTGCAGCTTAAAAGGCTTGAGTTCTTTGACAGGTTTACTTTTCTCGATAGCCGTTATTTCGCTGTGACACGTGAAGTCAACGGGCAGTATCTGCCAGATTCCATTGTCTTTGGCGTCAGAATTGAATTTCAATATGGTTAAAAGGCTGTCCATAAACTGACACATCATACCTGAAGGCTCCAAACCGCCTCGAATATTGTACTCCCCTTGTCCCTGTAACATAGTAGACGTTTACTGGCTGGAACCCTTACGTAATGAAACGGTTCGTAAGCGAGTAAAAGGTAGTTATTCGAATTGCCCTGAGCGGCAGATAAAGTCTATCATGTTGAAGTTGTTGGTGCATTTACTGCGTACTGCGGACCATTAAAGAAGGCCGTTTTTCACTCCAAACACTTGCTGCGAAAGATTCGCAGAGGAAAGTTCATGCCCCAACGCGAATCGGAAGCGACCGCTTCCAATTCGAAGGTTTTTGAGTCCTCGGGCCCTACTGGGTGGGGCCCACGCACGTATCTTTGCGCACGGTTAGGGACCTCTGAGGACATAGCGTATAATCGATCCCAGTTATGGAATGCCCAGAGTGCCTAACTAATCCTTATCTATCGTGTGCTGGTCTTTTGTTGACTAAGGTTCGCAAATGATGCTACCTCAATCCCAATGATGACAATGCACTACAACTGATTCTCGTATGTTTATTTGAGTGATTTCGGAAGGTACAGGCACCCGTCCATTGAACGTTCTTCCTGGGAGCACATGACTTCTCACAATAAATGCCTCCGCTTCCTTTTCTCTTCAAACTTGGGTCCTTTTCTCCCTGACAGTATGGTAGCTAAGCACTAGTTCCCATTTATGATGTATTGCTACTACCCATGGTGATGATAACGACTACCGTTGCCCGAAAAATCGCATGAGGTTGCTTGCTACTTGTAGCCAGCCGTAGTTTTGCTCAGGTCCCAAAGCCTTGATTGTTCAGGTAAGTCCAAACACGGACTGCGGACTGAGCTAGGCTGTCTCCTGACACACGGTTATAGCTGGTAAATTGAATTGATTGAATACGTGCACTCTGGCAGGATGAACTCTTTCGAAAACACTATAGCTAGGGTGTTTATTTCGGCTCGCACCGGCTCTCTGACTTCCGTTCTTCATATACATGCAGCAACTCATGTTACACGCCTATCAGGGCGGACCACCCTCTGCAAGGACCAGGTTTTCCGAACCTCACTGTGAGCTTGTCCATTTTGACCAGAGTAAATACTCTAGAATGAGAATTCCAAACCAAAACATTCAGGATCATGTCTAAAAATTTGACCATAATACTGCGCCTGACATGCATTCAGAGAGATCGACTTTGATCATACGGACAGTATTCTGTTATTTGACAATCGTGTGTTCGCACAGACTACTCTACATAGAGTATCTTGCTTCGGTGTGCACTTTGCACCTTCAAAGGGAGAAGGTTCGAAAGTGCAGCTTAAAAGGCTTGAGTTCTTTGACAGGTTTACTTTTCTCGATAGCCGTTATTTCGCTGTGACACGTGAAGTCAACGGGCAGTATCTGCCAGATTCCATTGTCTTTGGCGTCAGAATTGAATTTCAATATGGTTAAAAGGCTGTCCATAAACTGACACATCATACCTGAAGGCTCCAAACCGCCTCGAATATTGTACTCCCCTTGTCCCTGTAACATAGTAGACGTTTACTGGCTGGAACCCTTACGTAATGAAACGGTTCGTAAGCGAGTAAAAGGTAGTTATTCGAATTGCCCTGAGCGGCAGATAAAGTCTATCATGTTGAAGTTGTTGGTGCATTTACTGCGTACTGCGGACCATTAAAGAAGGCCGTTTTTCACTCCAAACACTTGCTGCGAAAGATTCGCAGAGGAAAGTTCATGCCCCAACGCGAATCGGAAGCGACCGCTTCCAATTCGAAGGTTTTTGAGTCCTCGGGCCCTACTGGGTGGGGCCCACGCACGTATCTTTGCGCACGGTTAGGGACCTCTGAGGACATAGCGTATAATCGATCCCAGTTATGGAATGCCCAGAGTGCCTAACTAATCCTTATCTATCGTGTGCTGGTCTTTTGTTGACTAAGGTTCGCAAATGATGCTACCTCAATCCCAATGATGACAATGCACTACAACTGATTCTCGTATGTTTATTTGAGTGATTTCGGAAGGTACAGGCACCCGTCCATTGAACGTTCTTCCTGGGAGCACATGACTTCTCACAATAAATGCCTCCGCTTCCTTTTCTCTTCAAACTTGGGTCCTTTTCTCCCTGACAGTATGGTAGCTAAGCACTAGTTCCCATTTATGATGTATTGCTACTACCCATGGTGATGATAACGACTACCGTTGCCCGAAAAATCGCATGAGGTTGCTTGCTACTTGTAGCCAGCCGTAGTTTTGCTCAGGTCCCAAAGCCTTGATTGTTCAGGTAAGTCCAAACACGGACTGCGGACTGAGCTAGGCTGTCTCCACTCCTACGGGTTCTTGACCTACTGACTCGTGCTTTAAACCCACACCTGACCCATCGCTTGCTACCTTCTAGACTCTTTCTGCGCACCGAATTGTGCTCCGGCTAAGTGCTTAGATTTTGGTCCACTCAATGGTAGCTTTTACTGACAGGTCACATGGGTTGCTTTTCTGAGCAGTCCTCACTCGAAGAACGAGTTAACACCGACCTACATAAGTTTTGCTTCATGTATGAATGGCTCTATGTACCAGTTCGCGGATTTGAATCTATTAACACAGGCGTGAGACGCGCGCGGACGATGGTTCCCAACAAGAATGCAACAGATATGCAGCGTTCCTCGGTTTTACGACGTCGATTGACTTCAACTTCTAGCTGACACTTGCGTTTTTGCCCAGGACTTATGATACAAGTACTATGTTAGACGTTCCAGAGCTACTCTTCCATTTACTGCCGATAGTCTATCACTACTTGGGTGAGATGACTCGGTGGCTAGAGTACGAATTTACCAATCGGAAGGCCCGTGGTTCGAACACGACCTCTGCCTATGGACGTCTCCTGTCCAAGCTTAGGCAACCTGGCAGTATCCCAGCCCTCGTGCTTCCTTCTGGTGACCTGGCAGTTAGGCACCGAAAAGGTGCTACAGCTAAGTGGTTTATTCTTTGGGTGAAATAGGATCCTATTCCCCGAACGGAATAGGATCTCACCTCGTAACAATAGTACTGGTCACTTGTTGAGTTGTCTTGTCTGATAAATGAAAATGTACGTGTTCTGGTCTTCTCCTTGGAACAACACAGCTATGAAGTTGCTTTCCTCCCCAAGTGTACAGAAAGCATGAATAAGTGATACTTGGAGATTCTCCAGTATTATGTTTCCGGTTGCGTCACTTGCTCGGAGTTCCAGCGGTAGTTGTTTCCGTGGCCTGGTTGACTCCTGATTGATGTTTGAAACGACTGCAAGTTGAAGATGTCTCTAGTCTCCTCAACTTTCACACCACTTCCGGTAGACAACTCGGCACAAAGTATGGAAAACTGGTTTTCAGTCCAACCTGACATGCTCTCCTTGTACGTAGGCCCGATTTTTGGCCGTGATACATACCAGAAACCAGCACAGAACGTCCAACGGCAGTCAGGAACAAGCTCATTTTCTTTGAAGATGGAATTTAGCAACTAATTTCCCATGGTTTACATATATGCGCTTGACGTACATCGCAATTCATAAATTGTCAGATTTCTAGAACTTTCAATAGCCGTTTCTATTAAATCCCGGTAAGCTGTCAGTAAAATCTTGTGATTCTATTTCGATCTGCTCCATACTTTTCACCTGTGTTTAGGGTGGGAACGACTACGAGATCTATGTGGATAGAAGAACTATCGGACACGCGATTCAGACACCTGAGGATACACAGTCACAACTTATGCGGATGTTCCCTTGAATCAAATGTGTCAGAAGTTTTCCTGAATCTGCTGACAATTTTTCGGGAGGCAGTGGTCGATTGTGGTTTGTTAGAAGTCTATATAAATTCACCGATTTTCAATAAAGCAATTGGTTTGGAGCCCCTTGCACGTCCATACGTTTCGCACTTAATACCCCCGCGAATCGATATCGTTTTCAAACGCACAAACCGCTTCGCTGATTGAATAATCCCGATCGGTCTGTCATTACCGTCACTATTTAGCAAAAACTAGCATTTCTGGTGTCCCATAGAAATTCAGTACGAATGGCGCCACACTTGAGCGGTTTCACTTTGTATCTCAAACACAAGGCTATTTTCTTGTAAATGTCTTATTCTATCACGGCTAATTGGCATAAAACTTCATTTCACTGCCAAAAATGACAAGATCTGATGACTATTAGACAAATTCAGCATATTGATACGTTAGGGGTGGTTCGGGTCACAGTATTACAGGGGTGCAGAGCATTCAGCAACCTAACGGGAAAAGCTGGTGAGGAGAGACTGGCAAAAATAAAACCCTCACTTGGGTGTTGGAAAAGGAAGTTAGGTTACAGTGTATGACATGATGCGACACAATGGAGATGCCTAGTATCTCATCTAGGTGTGATAGGGATACATAGCTGGGTGATAGATCTCATGTGGAACGTAACAAAATTTCTACTCCGGCAAATGTGATTTGTTTCGAACCATGCATACCAATGTTTTCCGCTTTGCGGCCGGAGGCGGGTTACAATGTGTACATACATGATGAATAGGGGGATCTGGGGTGCCTACATGTCCCTAAGTACGTTATGAGTACGCCGGATCAGCCTGATGACAAACTTTTTGAGTTTGCCCGAAACCCCGTTTCCTTCATTGCTAAACACGTAATCGATGGCGGCCACCAGACCGGAATATCGATACGTGTGAAAGAATTTCGTCTGCCAACTTTTATCCGAACCTTGTTGATTACGCGTCTAGAGCAGGATTCCTCAGTCCAATTCTCTGATCGTGATTCAGCTGTAAGACGCATGCGTTCGCGTCTCAATTTCTATTGTCGATGTACACGTTCGTCCCACATTGGTTCCCCACATGACACGAAGTGATGTCGAAAAGAGCGTTGAATATGGTTCTATCACACACCGATCGTTGTGCCCCAACGCTATAATGTAATAGACCGTTAGTGATAATACACGTGCGTATATGTATCGAACAAAGGTGCCCCATGCGACCGGCAGTAAGTAGCAGAAAACATGAGACGCGAACTGCCTGTTAAGGTGATCTGAACAGATAGTAGGAGGAGCAAACAGGGTGCGAAACGGCAGCGATGTGTTTGACAGGACAGAAGACCGGAGAGCAGACACAAAACTTGTCTGTCTTCTGACGGCAATTTGAATGCAATAATGCAAGACACTTCCATGGGTTCAACAAACTTGCAGGGATTCTAGGGAAGCAAAGACAACTATGTATGTACATAGGAGCTACAAACGTAACAAAGACATTTAAAATGGATCACTGATAATTCGAGACAGCAACTCGTAAGTTTAAAATGCTTCAGCGGTAGCAGCAAAAGTGAGGTAAATTAAAACCAAGATATTAGGTGGTTTTGTAACGTGTGATTGACGGCAGGTTCGGAATGATGCAGACGAGTCATCATTTGCGGTAACCACCGGCAACATGGGTAGAAGAAAGTAAGTGAGAACTGAACGTGTCCGGAGTCGTGCTTGTTGGGAGATGCAAGGCACCTGGATGCGGATGATAAGTGTGCGGGACGTGATGAATTCCTGTCATCGGTTGAGTCTGCTGCTGTAAAGTCTGACTCTGTGAGAGGAAGTACGGTGCCCGTTGATCGTGTTGGGGCTGGGCCGGTAAGTGAAGCTCAGGAACCACATAAACACTGGGTTGGTTGTAAGCTTGCGCAAAGTTGACTGCTTGCGGATAGAAAGTAGGGTTAGTTTGGACTGGTCCGGTCGACAACTGTGTTGAGTTGCCGGAACTAACGACGTACATACCCACTGGTCGGACGGGGGTTGTGTTTGGGAATCCGGGGGTCGTTTGGGGGTTTGGAGCGTAGAATGTAGCCGATGGACCGGAATTCATAGCTTGTTGAGGCTGTTGCTGAGAGAGTTGCATCGCCATGACAGGTAGAGAAGGATTCTGTATGGTTTGTGCTACGGTTGCAGCGGGTTGTGATATTTGCAGACCTTGGACCATCGGGAGGGCTGGACTTGGTGGCAGTCCTTTGGTTCGACCTTCAACGAACAGAAAACCTCACCGATAAACCGAAACAAGGATACTAAATAGGACATAAGCACTAAAAAATAAGGACCGAACTCGTGCTGAGGAAGAGATAACTGATCAAAACGGTTTCCGTGTATAGGGTGGGGGGAGTGTCTGCAAAACGGGCAGTAGACGATGAAAAAAAGGGACATTAGAGAAGAGAATATTCCATGTGTTACAAAAGCCTACCTATGCAGAGTCACCACTCGGGAATCCAGTCAACAGAGACTCACTTAAAATGACTGGCACAGTTGAGGGATGAGTATGTTTTGTGCTGCTGGAGAGTGAGAATGGCTGAAGAGTATTGTTCAACTAGTATTCCAATGGTCGTGGATTCGATAGCGTGTACTTCAGTCCGAATTAAACATCTGCACCATGCTTCCCGGCAATGGCTGACTGTCTTAGAAATAACCCACAGTCGAGGTAACACAACCTGGTGCATCAATGCGATGGACAGTGTTTCCAAGCGAATTAAGTCGAAACTTATGATACATGAGTACGGCGAAAGCGGTGTTGCCGTCTTCGAAAAAGCTGCGTGTAACATGAAACTGTTACTACCAGCCCCGCCCTCAAAGGAGTATCGTACAGAGCTTACATGGGATTCAAGCTACATACAGGACGGCCCACCGAATCCCGAGAACAATACACCCATTGAGCTTCTGAAGACGTCCCAGAGTAGAATTTGACAGGAAGCTGCTTTTATGATGCTCATAATCATCATTGTCGTACAGTGGTTGTGACTGCCATAGTTCCGTTCACCGATGACTCGGAGACGTGGGGTAGGTAGCTGCGCATTGGAGGCGGGAGCTGATAAATTAGTGTGTGAATACAGCACTGATAAACGTTTATATCTGGAAAATTTTGCGTAACGTTTTCTGCATTAGAGCATCAGCACACGAAGAGTGTAGTGCGTGCCGCTAATGTTGCGCCTACAGCCTTTGAACATCGTGGACATCGACACCGACAGTTAAAGCAGTACAACGATTAGGAACAGGTAGATGAACTGATTCTAAATGTGCCCCTTGATTTCAAAAGTAGCGAGCCCTCTTTTGAATCGAGTTGACGCAAAAACTATCGTAATCGTACACAGGTTTCCCGTTACCAATCAGGTTTATGGTAGAACGTCAACACAAGACTGTGAGGTCAAAGATAACAAAATGGGATGGCGATGGATAATGTGTCGACGCTGACAACCTCCCCGCTTTCCATAGCCAACTTAAATAGGCTGCCGTGGCTGTGGGACCGTGTACACAGCAGACAGACCACTTGATTTGACGGGTACCACCACGAAGCATTATGAGATGGCAGGCCATCTGCATTACGAAGACTGGGGGGTTTCACTAGGTCTGAGGGTTCGGGACGACTTCACTGCCACATTCAGGAGAGTGACTACGGAGAAGCGACCGATGACAACTAGGGGTGATATGAGCACAAAGTGAAAAAGTAACGCCACCACACCTGTGCTTTTGGATCGTAGTAGTCAACCTTCGGATTAATACGCTTTTCTACTCACCTATCAAAGTATACACAAGCAAGTTATTCAAATGTCAACTGCACAGAATGCCTGGAGCAACTAGGTAATTACGGGCGGCGTTGTACGCGTTCGTTGATACCTCAAGGCCGGCTCAAGTCTATCGGCCGGTGATCACGCTGAAATGCGATAAGCAAGAAAATTGCTCACTATGCATTGTCAGGTGAGGGACTGTAATCCTTGCGGCTGAAAAGCGATCATTGCACGTCGTTAATAAGCGCGGAACTGACTGTACCGCTGAGCCGAGGTGATCGTACCATGTTTATCCACGGACTACATGCAGAAATCGTACAGGTGTTTTTCATATTGTCTCTGCCTTTTTACTACAGCAGATAATGCACGTGGGAAAACAATTCACATACAAATCCACCGTATTGCCCATAAGCGCTCGTCTGTAAACTCCGTACCCACATATATTGACCACGCTCACATAACTTCTGGTCGTAGAAACTCACTCTTATTCTTCTCTTCGTGATGTTGATGACTACGACGCTGACCTTGTCCAGAAGTCCCAATCGGCGTGGCTGCCTGATTGTCAATCACATTTGCATTGTTCCCGTTGTTTTGTTCATTGCCAGGGAATTTCAGCAGGTTCCAATCAAACACACAGTCATAGCTGAAACCCTCGCGGTGAAATAAACAGCGAAACAAGTTTCGAAGGTAGGAGTAGTCAGGTTGATTGTCAAAGTGCAGGCCACGACAGAAATTCAGATATATTGCCATTTCGACTGTAATGAGACAAGTTGAAAAACACTGACATGTTGATTGACAAATATTCAACATCTTAATTTTCGCATAGCCAACCAACTAAACAATCGTAAGGGAAACTAGTTAGTGGTTTTTTTTGCTGAGCGTTTTGAGGGAAAAGCCCTATTTTCTCCAGTAACTATAACTGGTCAAGCAAGCGGAAACACCTTAGAAGTTGCGCCGAGATCTGCTGTTCAGACATGATCCCTGCTGTGTACACTAAAGCAACTATGAAAAATGTATCACAGCTGGATGGCGTCAGCCTAAATTCGATACGCGGTTTAGCACACCTCGGACTAAGTGGTAGTAACATGCTTCCAGTTAAACGCCATGATTTTCATCTCAAACTATATCAATCCAGTAGTGAGAAAGTGTTACAATCTATGTTGACCGGTTCGAAATTATATCAGAAGTTAATACAAGCAGCAGAATGAACCCCGTAGCTTAGAATATCAGGATATGAGGAAATCGTAGTCCAGTGGGAATAAACTAACCAGTCGCCACTGAGCAAAATGCAGTGGTGTTAGTTTAGATAGAACACCACCTTGGTAGCAGTGATAACATATGGTAGAACAAGAGGCGAGCGGCAACACAGAACGACAACAGTACTTAGGGATGTATATCCGAAAATCACAAAGACGCACGTCGCCCTGAAGGATTGAAAGTAGTGCGCGAACGTATCAGCATGATGCGTAATCGTATTTGTAGAGATAGTTTGAACAAAAAATGCTACGGGTCGAAATACGTTTGCACAATACACAATTTTCTGTAACCAGCTAAAAGGAAAATTTGATCAAGCGGGACATTTGAATGTGATCAAATGCATAGGATAAAATCATACCCAAATATATTGATGTGGAAGAGGGTCTTCTGCTGCCGTCGATTTATCAAATGAAACCATAGAGGTCAGAAGCGGATAATCATCACTAACATCAATGGCAGCCCAAGCAACGACATCGTCTTATCCCTGTAGGCCCATTGGGATTTGTCTAGAGAATGCCGTCACGAACACACCGGACTTTACCGTGATGTGACGGTTTGTGTACCCCGCGACCCATTGAGCCATACTGGAGATGTCCACGCGACACTAGCGGAGTCTCTCATACCACGTTGGTAAATGGTTGGAATTCTGACGAACATAGTCTCCTGGTCCTCCAGGTTGAGGAGTGGAACATGTGTGGCACCCTGTTTCATAAAAACGGTAATGTCTCGCATTTCCGGCTGAACACCGCTACCTTGCGGTTAGGTTTTTGAGTCAAAGGCTTTGGTTGACGACCCTAATCGTCCTCCTATCTAGGTGTGGGCACCAAGGCAGTATCCCATCCCACGTATAATAATTAAGTGCATTTCCAGCCAAACACAGGTTACCGGGAAGCTGAACCGTTCCGTAACGATCAAGGGAATTCAACTCAATGGTAATTGCTACCTCACGGGCTTTGATCACTTGGGCATGGATTGGATTAATGAGCTTCAACTCTTGGATGTACCCCTCAATGCCGTTTGTACCGAAACAGCTGCAGATTGCTCCAGTACGCTCACGAGAACACCATATCCTGACGATTTTGTAGTCACCACAGTTACAGCCAAACCGAAGACCAGATGGAGCATCCGCGACACAGCGATTATTCAGCTCCTAGCGTCAAGGTCCGGTAGCCCTCTCACTTCAGTCCACTTTAATGTATCCTGCTAGCAGCCTGTAACGTTTTACCCGCAGTCCGAACGCTTCAGTTTACAGCCCCAGGTTCATGTGGATCGTTCCATCGCTATCCGGAAAGTCAAGAAAGGGGGCCGGCAGAAGGGATGCCACGACAGTCACACAGAGCCCAGATACTGATTCGAGGACATGGGGAATGCTCTCCACGGTGGACCCAGGGTCGAATATGGCAAACACGAGGCAAAAATAAGATCACAAGCACGATTACGTCAAGGAAACCAACTTCACACAATAGTCTGCTGCTCCATAAGAGGACCACGATGCATGGGTCACCAGACAGCCGTGACATACCTCCAAATAGGAGGGTACCAGATCCCAGGTCAGCATGCTCGCAGCCGCAGGGACGGACCGAAATGCGACAACACCTCCACCAGTCGTCACAGTGGACCCCAAAGCAGCAGTCGGTTGAACAGCCTTCTCAAGGGGAAGGTGTCCGGATGCCAGCTGCTCCTAATAACCGAACATCACATCGTTTGGACGGATGTGTCACGTGCAGGACACGGACCAAACGAAGGCATGCCCAGATTGGTCAGAATACCAGGCAATCTGAGTCGACTATCCTTGACTCGAAGCTTCTCACCCCCTCACGAAGATTCTGGCACGACCTTGTGGAACACCCTGTGCTCGCCCTATAAATACAGTTGTAATAATTTTACTTTGTCTCCATAAAGGGCTGTGTATAGCTACCATGCCTTTTGATATACCATAGTGAGCAGAGCAGGAAGCCAAGGGACCGATACAGAGTTGCACGGTCGTCCACCAAGACACAAAAGCTGGGGTAGCGAAACAGTAATTTGGTTTCGCTGTTAGGTAACGTAAGCAGCATCTTCAGTTTTCGTGCTAACAATCACATTGAAAGCTCTCCACTTTCTGAACCGAGATATAGTCTCACTAAGGTCCTACAAGGACCGTAAAACTAGCCTCTTCTGATGGAGGAACCGTATGGCTTCTGGGGGATTTCATACAACTGTTTGCGGCACTGTGCGAACACTGATCACATCCTAAAACGACATGTGTAATGGGAAGTCAGGAATTCAGGCGAAACCGAGGCGTCCAGTGCTTTCTGTGTGCATAATGGCGTTCGACGATGAAGTGCAACATGAATAACAACCCAACGGATTAGCAAAAGTCAATCAACACTATCGACTCCAGTAGGTCGCTTACCGGGATAACCTTCACAGAGAACTTCAACAGGCGTCTGCATTTTCTTCTCACTAATCCGCTCGTATTTTTGGCGTTTTGTTCCGGCTTTGAGGCCTTGCCAAGGAAGGCTGCCCCGTAGAAAGTACATGAGAACATAACCGAGAGACTCCATATCATCCCGTCGAGCTTGCTCTAGAACAAAGAACGTAATAAAATGGTGCTGCATACATGCAAAACACACCAACTGAAGTGATGAGACCTTTTCCGTAACTGTTATTAGGAGTGGGCAAAAAACGAAACCAGGAAGGACAGACTTACCTATGCCAAGATGTGTATTGATACTTGCATAACGAGCAGTGCCTGTGAGGTTCTTGTTCTCTCGATACGGAATGTGTTGATGTGATCGGCTATCACGGTACTTTTTGGCCAAGCCAAAATCGATTATGTATACCAGGTTGCCACGTTTCCCCAAACCCATAAGGAAGTTGTCTGGTTTGATATCACTGCAAGTAAGGAAGGTTGCCAGGTTAAGCAAAGCGGTTTTTTCGAGGGGAAAGTTCCCACAAGTGTACCCGTCCAGTGATCAGTGGAGATGCTCTAAAACAGTTAAGCATACTCCTGTGACACCAACCCCAGTTTATTAAACAGAAGTGTCAACATATGACTGGTGCAAATTGTCATCTGCAATGCATTACTTATCCTCTTGAAAACCGTAGATAAGAAACCGGTAGAAAGAACCTGATAAGCTGACTGACCAAATCTCAGCTTAGATAAATCTGTTCACTATATGTAAAATAAGTAAGTGAAATATATATATATATATCCTTTAGTCAAACAAACATAAAGAGTATAAGGAAGGGCTATATGTAAAAAAGTAAGTGAAATATATATATATATATATCCTTTAGTCAAACAAACATAAAGAGTATAAGGAAGGGCTGAATGGCAAAATAAATAGGCGACGAAACCAGCCAATAAAACCGTTCGAAAAAATCAAAGAACAACTGATACTTCTGCAGTGGGTGCTTTGGCCCGAGGAAGGGATGTTTGATCACAACAGGATTAACGCTTAAAAAGAATATTTTGAAGAAAATTGGACGATTGTCCTGACCAAACTGCCCTCACCTGGTGTAGTGATGGCAATGCCTCAGCTGAGTTCTCGATCTCCACTTCTCCTGTCTAGGTTTGGGCAGGTTGGCAGTACCCTAGTCCTCGTGCTTCCTTCGGGTGGCTTGGTAGGCACCGAAAGGGTGTCACAGCTGAACGATTATCTTTATCGGCGCTGACGTGCTTGATTGATGTTCCCCGGGTCAGATCGGTAACCGTTTTCGTCAATGATGAAACTGAGACACTATCGACCATTTGAAGGTATATTTTCCTCGGCGCACTCCGAGACCATGCGCTTGAATACGGCCGAGCAAGTAACCAAAGCACTCACAATTCGTCGCGGTTCTAAACCCATGATGATGAGATCATCCAAATAGGTTGGGGGCATTCTTTAGCATTGTATCCGTGATTTTTTAAAACATGACTGGCACCGTCCTGACACCAACCGCAGTCGGGTAAACTGCAATAGGCCGCAGTGCGCATTGGTGGTCAAAAGTTTTCGGGACTCCTCCTTGACTTCAACCCGCAGGTAGGCCTACGCCAAATCAATCTTCGCAAAACATTTGCGCCCATTTAGTCTCGCGAACAAGTCTGGAAAAGGCAGAGGGTATTCCTGCATATCCAGTGCAGCGTTGAGACGAGTGAATTAGTCTACACACAGGCGGATGATGCCGTTAGCCTTTTTCATCACTACGACTGGTACCGCCCGTATCGGGTGGTTGGTCAGTTGGGGAACACTAGCCTTCTGTAATCGGTTCAGTTTCTGGTCCACAGTGGGCAAGGATGCATAAGCGTTTCTGCCTGAAAATAGGTCTGGCATTGAAGAGGAGGCACGGTCTGGCCTTCGCTCTTGTGCACCATCCAGGTCCGTTGGCGAATATGGGCGCATAGTGTTGCAGAACACTCTTGAGTGAGCGCTTTCAGAGGTGAGTTTGTTCAATGGCACCTCCGGGTGAGACTGCAAATAGAATGAATAGGCATTTCCAGTAGATTCAGCTTATCGAACCCATCCGGCTTCATGAGATCAAGGTAGGGCATGACGTCAGATGGTATGTGGCTTGAGCCACCAGTCATTTAAGGTCATGGAGCAATCAACCTCGCTAGTCATTTTCAGCTTACTCCCAGGAGCATCGCGGGCTCAACGTTCAGTTGGTTTTACATGAGGTCTAACAATGCATTTCCAAGTTCGTTCACTGAGCAGGATGATGAATGAAACCGTATCAGACGTTGTTGATACGCATCGTTACGAACTTCCCTCTTCAGCAAGCGAAATCAACTTTGAATGTCACTATCACCGAGTTTGGGCTCATGAGCTGCACCGTGGTGTAATGTTGGTTGCGGCGTCTGAGATAGACATAAATCTCCCTTGTGGTCACGACAACTGCACCGGGGACATTTATGGCACATGAATCGGATAACGAACGAAATTCCGCTCATCGGAAAGCCAGAAACTTGTGGGAGGTTTGCCACGATTTTGACCGAGCTTGTTTGCAGACTTCCTTGGTACGGTGGAGTTGATTACGTGAACACAGCCGCTGGAAGTGGAAGGTGACTGATCGATTATAGTCGTGTCGCTCCAGGTTAATGAGATATTGGCACTCGATGGTAGAGCTCTGTAACGTCATATCAGTAAGCTGTTCGATTCTGCTAAGCAGCTACTTTCTGGCGTCCGCATCTTGGGACGACTGGATACTAAAATGAGCCGTCGAGCTGAGCTTGAATCGCTCACATTCCCGATGTAATCACCGTGATGAAATCGTCATCACATTTCCCGATCAGCTTGAGGAATTGGTAACGGATATTGAACAGTGATGTCTGACCACCAAATGTACGAGGTGATGTTCTGACAGTTTCACTAAAGATCGGGGCGAATGAAGTTTGCATACCGTTCGTGATCCAGTGTGCCAAGTTTTCCCAGCAATAATCTGACTATCCGTCCGTCATAAAAATTGGAAAAATCAGTTTTTAACATTTCTTTGGACCGCTTGAACCTGGAGTCGAAATTGTGAACAGAAAGCGAGTGAAAGGTCAACTTGGTGATAGATGCAGCGGCTGCATCAGCTGAATGAACGGAAAGCTCGCAGCCACTGGATACATACAAATTAGGTTTTCACGGCAGACTGACCTGAGTTTCAGGTGAATGTCCCGTCTATGATGCCCTTCTTTTGCTGTTCTTGAAATAACTTTCACAGCCGATTAAGTTCGCCAATTGTAAAAACGCTAACGCATCCGGCCAGTACTCCGTCTGATCGTTCCAAGTTAGGATTTTTAGCAAAAGAACCACCAGGGTGCACAGGTCAGGAACATATGTATGGCATGTTGTGGTTAGCGTATGTGGCGACAACATTCTAGAAATCCGGATGTCTTCTGGACACGACATTGGCAGCCACTATTCAGCGAATACTGATTCAAGATTGGCTGTTGAGTCTACATTTTAAGGCAATCAGAGCTAAAGTTGATGCTGAACCGGCAAACGGCCAACTACGTGCGGGTTGGGCTTCTTGGTTGTAACAGCTGCTAACCGTGAGNAGTTGATTCTGAACCGGCAAACGGCCAACTACGTGCGGGTTGGGCTTCTTGGTTGTAACAGCTGCTAACCGTGAGGGGTAAAGTGGTCGTCGTGCAGGAATCCGCCTGACACCTGGGCGATTGACAGTGCTGTTTACCCGACGTATTCGAAGACCATCTAAACCCTTAGACAATAACTCGACCAAACATGAAAGTAAATCAGTCATACAAGCATTATTTGCCAACGAATAGGCTGAGAACGATCGTAAATTCGCACGTTCTACCCTAAACAGAACTCTGAAGATTTTAATGTTGCGCATCTTCAAAGTGTGAAGCATCGCCTCAGGATTTTGAGTCGTCCTTTACCACTTTGGAACTTTTGAGAGATAAACTTGGACCTCTCGAAAGGTTTATTTATTTGCGTAGCTAGTTGAAGCATGGCTGTTCCATGACGGAAAGGCGTAAGCAAAATTCCGCAGATTTCGCCACTAATAACATAAGAAACGAAGTGAAAACAAGGGGCAAGTGTCAGTGGTCTTAGTTTTATCGTTGTGAAACCTGGCCCGTCCGATCTGAGGACACCAAACATCTTCAAAAGCTTAATCATCGGTGTCTTGGGAGCACAAAAGCAGTCGGTCGCCTGCAGCTGTTCACAATGAAGTGGTGTGTAAAAAAGTACTTGGTACTTAATGAGAAACAGTACAACAGCAGATAGAGCGTTTCAGCTTAAAGTGGCTTGCATGCACAATACCAATGTCTAGCCATCATCCGCCAACGAGGGGACAGATTATGGCATAGCAATGTTATCGTCAAAGTGTACGGTATGGGGTTTCCACATCTTCCTAACTGTAATTCGTTTGATTATCCTTGCACATGTCAGGACGGTTGTCGTATAACTGATCATACAGGCGAGCATCTTGATATCACCTAGTCGAACTGCACAGCTGAAGTTCGCCTATCGTTGCATGACAGTTTTGTGTTGTATGGAATTCGGTAAGGTCAATCCCACTGATGGTGCCTTGTTTCGATATGATACTCAGATGCGTTCATCTTGTTGAAGAAATGCAAACACCGTGTTCTTGACCGCTTTCCTAAAGAAGTAAGGTTGTTTGTATTAGGCCCCTATCTTCCCACTTTCTTTGCATCCTTTACTAGTAGATTCGTCACTCATGGATGCGTGAGAGTTGATTAATATCTACTGCTGGTGACCTACCGTAGACGAAGATGATCAGTAGAAAGTTATCCATGTAACAGTTTTCGAACAATATTATCGAAAACGTCGTTAAGAGCAAGATTCGGATGGTAATGCTAAGAACAAACTATGACTGTCGCAATTCCATTTGGAGCTGATACAGCTAAGCGCTACGAATCAGGCAATAAAAGACTGTGGAAACTACTGGCCTGACAAAAACGAAATAGATTAAAATCTCGTAGGAGCAGTCAGCCGGTTGCAAGGCGAAAATAGGTACTAGGCACTAGTATGACCTAAACACGTGGACTCAAGCAACCATACAATAGGTAATCCCTTGTGGAGGAAATATCACATTTCACGAATGGGCACCCGAAACCGACTAATATCAAACACCTATGTCACGAGTCACATCAGTCACAGCGTAAACACTCGGTACGAAACACACATACAGGAGGAAGTTAGTAGATAAACTTGAACGAGCTTAACTTCATAGTTTCGTATCATTTTCCGGCAGCTGACTGTTTCGTAGAAAACACATACAGGCCGATAATAATGGAATTGCGAATGAGGAAAGCTTTGAATGGAACATACCAAGTTATAAACTACAAGATAGAGACTGAAGTTACGAGGTGATGTGATCCATTGTTAAGTATTTCACACAACAGCAGATGGTAAAGTGGTCGGAAAGAGTCATTGTGTTTAAATAATACACATGAAAAGGACTATCAGTTTTAGGCTCAGGATAAAGTTTGGAAGCTGTAACTAGAAAGGTGTTCGCCCAAATCCCCAACCTACAGAAACAATTTAGTTCCTACCTGCATGAAATTTCAATGTATAATTCTCACATCCACACTGAACAAAACAAATCTGAGTGCCGACTAGCAGTTGCGCTTAAAAGAAGTGGTG